ATCGACCCCAGGGCCTCACAAGTGCGAGGCAAGCACTCTACCACTGAGCCACAGTCCCAGCCCTTTTTATTTTTTATTTTGAGACAGAGACTAAGTTGCTGGGGGTCTCGCTTAAGTTTCTGAGGCTGGTCTTGATCTTGTGATCCTCCAGCCTCAGCCTCCCCAATTGGTGGGATTGCAGGCACATGCCACTGTGCCCAGCACCACTTCTATTTTTTGAGGCTCCAAATAAGTTTATTTATTTATTTATTTATTAGTTGTAAATGGACTCAATGCCTTTATTTGTTTTTATGTGGTGCTAGGATTGAACCCAGTGCCTCACACTTGCAAGGCAAGTGCTCCACCACTGAGCTACAATTTCAGCCCTCCAAATAAGTTTTGAAATAAAGAAAGTCCTAAACAGCATGGTCACATTATGGTGTGTTTTACATATTCTTATTTAACAAGTTAACGTTTTAAGTGGGCGTGAACACACAATGTAATGCAATTGAGAGACTCACAAGATAATTACAGGAATTATAAAAAAAAAATGTTTGCAGGGTGCAGTGACATGCCTATAATACCAGAGAATTGAGAGGCTGAGGCAAGAGAATTGCAAGTTCAGCAATTTAGTGAGACCCTGTCTCAAAAAAAAAAAAAAAAAAATCGTTGCACAATCTGTTCTTTCCACCTTGTACAAAATTCCTTGGAACTAGTCATCCAGCCTACTTTGAGGATACATTTTACTCTAAAAAATTTCAAGCATCCAGAAAAGTTAAAAGAATTGTTCAGCTGGATGTGGTGGCACACGCCTGTGATCCCAGTAGGTCGGGAGGCTGAGGCAGGAGGATCACGGGTTCAAAGTCAGCCTCAGCAATTTAGGCCCTCAGCAACTTAGCAAGACTCGGTCTCTAACTAAAATACAAAAAAAGGTCTAGGGATATGGCTCAGTGGTTAAGTCCCCTGGGTTTAATCCCTGGTTTCAAAAAAAAAAAAAAAAAAGTTCAGTAAACAGCCAAGCACCCACCAACTGGCGCCTACAATGCCATTGTGCAGAATGTACCTTTTTTCATATCCATCCTTCTATCCAGCCCTCCAGCCATCTCTCCATGAACCCATCCATCCACCCATCCATCCACCCACCCATCCATCCATCCATCCACCCATCCATCCATCCTGTCCTTTCTCCCTCCTTCCATCCATCTATCTCATTTGTTTAATGCATTTTTGAATCTTATGACTGTGAAGATAACAGTAACAGGCCTTGCTACAGACCCATGCACACCCATACTCACACCCACACACCTCCATGTAAAACTTACATGTGCACACACCACAAAGGATTTATTTATGTCCCAAATTCATGTATGGATACTCCCTGTACACAGCCATGTGTATCCACGTGGCAAACACCACACACAGTCACCCGTGCACACACACGCAGTCCCCCGCCATTGTGCACGTGCACATTCACGAGAGACCCCAGGTACCTGTGTGGAAAGTATCCGGAGTCCTTTGGGAATCCACAGACCCTGCAGCTCCATCCCACATGTCCACCCTTCCCACCTCCCCACAGTGTCCTCTCTCACCCAGGGGTCACTGCCCATGGAGGACGTGGATCCTTCTGGAGCATCAGAGCATGYGGGGAGCAAAGCACACTAGACCATCCTCACCATGCTGTCATGTGGGCGGGCGGGGACTGTCACTGTTGCTCCTGCTCTGTCCACAGCACTCAGCCCACAGCTGGCACTCTGAAACTGTCGGTTGAAAAAAGGCAAAAAATGGGCACAGGGGCACATCCTGTGGGCAGCCACAGGACAGCCTTGTGGCATCTGTGCACACATGTGGGCATGCCCCTTTCCGCCTGTCTCCCTGCTTTCTGGGTGGACTCACTTTCAGGACTGGGTCCATTCTAAGACCTTGGTCACCTATGACCTCTGTAGGTTCATCTGCTGGCATATGAGGTCCAGATGTGGTGCCATGGCCATGACTTGTTCCTGAACAGCTGGGCTGCAAGGGTTAAAAGCACCAGCCTTTCCAACCTCTGGAGATATTCTGGGTTCCACCCTGGCTCTGCCCATATCACTGGGCACTTTCCATGTATTTCTGTAGGAGTTTCTTAGAGCATCAATTTCCTTTTCTGCTAAGTCAGAATATAGGTCCTATCTGAAAGACATCTTACAGGAGATGCTTTTAGCAGAGTACCAGTAGGTTGTAGGCACTTAAAGATGCTTGCTGTGGGCGTTATGATTGTCATTGCTTCGGCCTTTGGGAGGAAGGGCARCCTTGGCTGGGGGTTTGCGTGGGGAGAGTGGCAGGGATGGTGAATAGGGAATGCTTCTTYCCAGATGCTCCCCCAATCCTACACTCTCATTATCCCACATGCAAATTCATAAATGATGGGCTCAGCCCTGCTCTGTAAATGGGTCAGAAGCAGGAAGTAGAGGCCAGTGCAGAAAGAAAGGCCCAGGGGACAGGAGATTCAAAGCAGAAGCACATCTGAGTCCTCATGGATGGGAGGATGGTGAGAGGGGAAAGGGCAAGAATGGATTGGGGGGAAATTAGGGGACACTGAGGGCATGAGGAGGTAAGAGTAGAGAACCCGAGGGTGACTAGCCTACGGAGCTGGAGCCTGTTTCCTTTGGGAACTGGGCGGTTGAGTATCTGTCTGGGCAGGGTGATGGGCACAGGGGCATGGAMTGAATGACTCCTGCATGATTCTCTCAGAGGACACAGTTTACCTGGTATTGAGTACAAGAACTGAATTCTGAATCCCGGGTTTTTATTGAGGCTCAGAGAGGTTTGGAGACTTGCTGTGGTCACACAGTTACTGACTGTGATATTGYGATTGGAGGTGTGTGAGATAGTAATATTCTGGTCCCATCTAGAAGGTTCGAGACTGGGAGGAAGGCTGACAGGCTGGTCAGAGTGCCAAGCAAAGAAACCTCTTTTATCTCCTTCCTCGTGTCATCTCCTCCATAGCTCCCGAGAGAGTGAGAACAAAACCGATTTCTCTCTGTTTTACAGATGAGAAGCATGCGGCTGAGAGAGGCTGGATCGCCGGGACAAAGCTACACAGTGAGTCTCCGCAGAGMGGCTGGCCCTGCGTGGAGGGTGACGAGGCGGGTGTAAGAGCCTGGATGGCCTCCATCTTGGGCAGGACAATGGCGGCATAGTCCCCTGTTCTGAAAACTTCATCCTAAAACCAGAGGGCCTAGGGGGAGAAGGTGAACGGGARCTCGCTCTGGGATGAGAGCGGTGAGGAGGTCTCACTCGGGGCTGCTTGGTGGCATTTCAGGCATAGGGGACTGTTGGGTGGAAGGTGGCCGTGTGGGGGCTGTTTTGGGGTCAGACTGTCATTGCTGCAGAGGGAGGAAACTAGGCTGGTGGGGAAAGTGCCACCCTTCATCCCACAGGCATTCACCGCTGGGCTGGGCTGGGCTCAGGGCAGGACAGCGGGTGGCAGAGATGGGTCAGAGGGTCCATGGGCAGTCCCAAGTTGTGAAGACACTCAGACCAGGAGAGAAAGGAAATAATACTGGGCAGGAAAAGGGGTGGGCTAGATCTTATCACCTTTGCTTTCCAAGAGAGTCATAAGCTAGCGGGGACAAGTCTTGGGGTCTGAAGCTGTGTGTCCTTGAGCAACAGTATCCACAATCCCTGGAGTCACAGCCAGCGTTGGTCAGTGCCCAGTGGGCCTCTCGTGTGCTACTCTACTTCTTTGAGTTTCCGTATCCCTATCTGGAAGTTGGGGTGGGGAATTAATCCACTTGTGTGGTGCCATGTSGGTAAAAGAGTTTGGCATGGGCTCAAGCTTTGTGATGAGTCCACAGGAAGTTATTGTGAGGCTAGAGGGGAGGCCCGTTGTTCTGGAAGCACCAGCGTAGCAGGGGCATACTCACTCCTAGTTGGCCAGGTAGTGGGTTGGAGGTGGTGGCTGTGGTACTCTACCAGGAAGGTATGGTTGTGAATGAAGCTTTGAAAGGGACAAAGTGGGCTAAGGAGAAGGACTTTAAAGAGAAGGGCATCCTGTGGGCCAAAGTGTGGAGGAGGGAAAGTGTAGGCTGTTTGCAGAACAGCACTGGCACAATTAATGGCTAAGCCTGACGCCCTGTGAATCACCCGAGGAAGCAGTCAGGCCAGCTCTTTGGCCCCTGGGCCAGCTGTGGGGCACAGACTTCCTTCCCTACCATTACCAGGTCTAGAGCTGGTGGAGGAGAGGGCTGGAGGGTGACTAGGGTGGTTACAGAGCCCTCTGCCGAGTCTCTCACACCTACCCCTGGGGAAACACCTGCTAGGGACGCCCCTCTCCCCGACCTCCTAACGGAGAGTCCAGGGTTTGGGTATCCCTCCAACGTGAGAAACCACTCAGGAGTGGGCTGTGGGGCGTGTGTGGCCCTAGACAAGCTGCTCCAAGTCAGTAGAATTTGAAGAACAGAAAGGGACCTGGCTTGAAAGTGTGAAGCTAACCTCTCAGAAGGGACAGGGATGAGACGGGGCTTCGACAAGGAACTTATATTCATTAAGCATCTRCTACATGTTGTAACAGCTCTGCGAGGCAAGTACCCTCGCTTCACGGCAGGGGAAACTGAGGCTCAGAGAGGCGAGGTGACTTGCCCACGTTTTTTCGTCCAATTATCATTCATCATTCAGCACCACGCGTGGAGCAAAGGCTCTGCGCCAAGGGTCGCGGAGTCAGCGGGACCCCCTCTTGGATTCTGCCTCTAGGGATGACAGCGTCCCGAGGTCACACAGTGGTCTTGGGGGAGCTCAAACTCCGGTCTTTGTCCCGGTCTTTGTCCCGGTCTTTGTCCCCATCATCGCTTTGGACCAGGATTCCAGCCGGGGCCAGAGTTGGGTCGGGTTGCGCGGCCCCCGCGGCCCTGGAATCTGCACCTTCCCTTCCGTCCCCGACAGTCCCGCCCCGCGCACCTGCCCCAGGTGAGTCCGGGGAGGCCCCGAGCGCCGCCGGAAAGGGCCGAGCGTCTTCGGCAGGTGGGGCGGGGCGGGGCGGGGCGGGGCCAGGCGGGCACTGGGAGCCGGACCGGACCCCGAGGCCCGCCGCCGCCGCCGCCGCCACCGCCTCCGCCGCCGCCATGGGCGCCTGCCTGGGCGCCTGCTCCCTGATCGGCTGCGTGAGTGCCCGCCCCGCACTTCTGTCCTGTGTTCTTCCTCCAAGTACTTTCTTCTTTTTCCTTCCTCCAAACTTGTCTTCCTCGGCCGGCCCCCGCCTTCGCGTCCCTCGGGCGCCTTTCTCAGCCCGCGCCCCCAACCACCCGTCCCGGGCAGCGGCGCCGCGACAGCTGGTGTCCCGGCTCGGGTTCCGGGGGGGAGGGGCGGGCCGGGCGGGGAGCGCCCTCGCGGCGCCTCGGGGCACCGGGGAGACTGAGGCCGAGCCCGGMGGAGGGAGCGTCGCGGCCCCCGCCCGGCCCTTCCCGCCAACTTGGGGCGGTCCTGGGTGCGCCTCTCGTCTGTTTCCCGGACGCTCTGGCTCTTTGTGTGTCCTGCCTCGTCCCTGCCCCTCTCTGCCGGGTGCCCTTCTCTGTCCCTTTGGCGACTAGGTGCCCCTGTCGGTGTGGCTCACTTTGTCCATGGTATTTGCCCGGAACGCGTCTCTAAGCTTCGCGCGTCTGTCTGTCCATCCCTCCCCGTCTCCCTGCGCCCTGGGCTGCTCGGCGCTTTTCGGCTCTYGCAGACTCCGGCTCTTCCCCAGCCAGCCCTGGACCCTTCCGGAGCTGAGATGGGAGTGGGCTGGGAGGAGCCCCCATCCGGCCTCTCTGAGCCGCCCTGGAGCGGGGAGGTGCCAGTTGTCACTGACCATCGAGCCAAACTTTGGACTGGGCAACCCAGGAACTGAGGGAGGTGTGGGTGTGCGTGCCTGGCCACCAGAGTCGGAGACCTGGGGGCGGCCAGCGTAGGAGAGGGGCCCTTTCTGATTTCCCCCTTCCAGCCCCCTCTTTCTTCCCTTTCCCCTCATTAAATCTGAGGTTCATTCAGCAGCTCCCTCCCGCTCGGGCCCCACACAAAGAGGGGCGGAGAGAGAGGGGGCGCCGGCGCTGCTGGAGGAAAGCTCAGAACTTGCCTTCCTTTGTCCCTGATTTGTGTGTGCGAGGAGGGGCGCGTGGGGTGAGCGCTGGGGAGCGACAGATTCACTTGGAAGCCATTTTCTGAGAATGAGCTCGGCCTAGGGAGGCCTTAGAGTGGGTCCCTCCACGCAATTCTCTGTTCTTCTCTGGGCCTCCATTTCCCATCTGTGAAGTGAGTGTGTGAGTGAGTGTGTGAGTGTGTGTGAGTGTGTGTGTTCGCACCCAGGAAGACGGCTCTGCCGTACCTGCAGTCCTTCCCAGCCCAAAGAATTCAAGGTTGGGGCTGGCCGTTGGCCTCCTGGTCAGGAAGGAACACTTCCCTGAGGGTGACTGGCTTTTCTTCTGGTTCCCCTGGTTGGCAYCGGCTTTGCTGTGCTGGGTGGGGCAGGGGATGTTGAGGGGAGCCCTGCTAATCCCCATTCTAGGTCTCCATCTGTAAGTCCAGGATGATGGCAGTGTCGTCCCCCCCACCCCCATGCTGTTGGGAATGTTAAATGGTAGASGTGGGGCTGGGCAAGGGTGCGGTGGCGCACACCTGTAATCCCRGTGACTCAGGAGGCTGAGGCAGGAGGATCCCAGTTCAAAGCCAGCTTCAGCAACTTACTCAGAGAGACCCTGTCTCTAAATAAAATATGAGATAGGGACTAGGGATATGGAAGTAGGGATGTGGCTCAGTGGGAAAGCTCTCCTGGGTTCAATCCCCAGCACCAAAAAACAAACAAACAAACAAACAAAAAACCCAACAAGAAAGACGGTAGGCATGGAAAGTTCCCAGCACAGCTCCGCTCATCTGGTGAGTGCTCACCATGGGTGCCCTTATCASGGAGGGAAGAAGGTGTGTGGAGAACTCCATCTGGAGAGTCTCTGAGTCACAGGATTCAATGCTGAGAGCAGACAGGCCTGCTCAAATCCTCCTTTTATAGACATGGAAACTGCAGCCCAGAGAGGTTAGCTGCTTTGCCTGAGGTTGCACAGTTGGGATTAAAATTTGTTTCCTGGTCCAGGTTTCTGTGCACACCCCCACTCCCTCTCCCGCATCCTGACTGCCTAGGGACAGGGCTGGCCTAGGTGGAATTGGGAGGAAAGTTAGTGAGTGTCTAATGTCTGCACAGGACCTGCCCCTCCTTTCAGTGCCCTCCACTTGGAGTTCTGACCTCTGGCACTGTTCTTGGTGCTGTGCTGAGACCGTCACCCATGCCATCCCCCTGGTCCTACCCCCAGCCCTGTGGCACTGATGTCTCATTCTACATGCACCATGCCAACAATGGCCACCATTTACTGTGTCCTTATATAGGCCCAGTGCTCATGGGAAAGAGCTGTCCTGCAGGCCAGCACGGTGATGAGCGAGGCACTTCATAGTCCCATTTCAAAGATGAGAAAGCTGGATCAGAGAGGGCAGGTGGTTCCCCATGGCCACACAGTATTAATTGTACAGTGGGCTCCTACTGGACACCAACATCCTGTTTCAATAGAGTTCCCCTAGGACTGAGGTCCTGAGGGGAGTTTTCCGGGCATCTTAAGGGGACTGTCTTGGGTACACGCATTGGAGAAGACTTCTGTACCCTCCCTCCTAGCTGTGACCATCTGCCTCTCTGAGCAATTGCTGGATAGGAGGCGTGTCCAGCCTTGTATGGGCATAAGGTGGGTCCTCCAGAGCTGGGAGTGGCCAGGCAAGTCAGCATGGGTGACAGGATAGTCAGCAAATATCGAGGGAGGGCCGTCCACACGGAGGGACTGTGGAAGGCCGCTAGGGCAGAACAGCTGGACTCAAGTCCTGTTGGCCTCTTCTTGTCTGGAAGGCTGTGGGCAGTCCCTCTGCCCCTCCTTGTCTATGAAGTGGAAAGAACAGTGGTACCTGCCGTTCAGCAGCCTTGCAGGATTAGATGGAACCGAGGTGAAAACCTCAGCATATTTAACACGAAGTCTGCATGCTGTGGCTGCCCCATACGCACCCCAGGGTGGCAGACTGCTCCAGACCACGAGCGAGGAAGTGGTGAGAGGGAGGCCCGGCTCTCCAAATGGAGCCTGGGTTTGGAGCCATTGCTCCTGCCCCAGGAGCCCATTTTATAGATGAGGAAACCGAGTCCCACAGAAGGGAGGAGGGACTTGCCTGGGGTCCGACTGTGAGCGGGCAGCCAGGCCAGCACTGGACCTGCATCCTTGGCACTGGGCAGGGGAAGGACGCCCGCCTGGAGTGGTTTCAGGCCACCTCTTCCCTGTCGGGGGGCTGCCCTGCGGTGGCTCAGCAGCTGTGAATGGTCTGTGAAGGCCTCAGGGTGCATTTTGCCTGGGCCAGTGTTTTTGTTCTTAAATTGCAACAAGCTACACAGGAGATTTACATTTTAGCCTTTTTTTTTTTTTTTTTTTTTTTTTTTTTGTCTTCAAGGAGTTTGTCCTTTGTTTCCACAGAGGTACTAAAAAAAACTTTAGTTTTTTTTTTAGTTGTAGATGGACACAATCCCTTTATTTCATTTACTTATTTTTATGTGGTGCTGAGGATAGAATCCAGTGCCTCACATGTGCGAGGGGAGCGCTCTGCCACTGAGCTACACCCCAGACCCCCCCAAAAATGGGTCTTTAACTAGTGCAGCCATAATGATASGGATCCCCAGCGAGTGGCATTATCAGAGTTTCCTCTGATAATAGGAAAACAGCCATGTGGGAGAAGCCGCTTCTTAAGTCTGSCTTAAGACAATGGCTCCGGCTCCCCCTCCCTCCTCCCACAGCACTGCATCCCACCCCCCGCCCCCCCAAGCCGGCCTCTGTTCTGCGGCCAAAGTGATATATCTTTTTTTTTTTTTTTGTACTGGGGATTGAACTCAGGGGTGCTTAACTACTGAGCCACATCCCCAGCCCTTTTTAGTTTTTATTTTGAGACGGGGTTGTTTAGGGCCTTAATTAGTGTAGAGACTGGCCTTGAACTTGYGGTCCTCCTGCCTGAGCCTCCAGAGCCCCTGGGATTACAGGCATGTGCCACCATGCCCAGCCAAAGTGACATATCTGAAACTCAAATCTGATGTCATTCCTCTTGGCAGTGGTTCCCTATTGCCTAGGGGGTGAAGTTCAGACTCACCTAAGGGACTCTGGCCACCACTTCCGGGAACCACGCCAGATACCCTGGAAATAAAATACTGACTGAATCTGTGTGTGACTCCCCTGGCTAGGACACCCTCCTCCCACTCACCTGGCTGCCTGCTCTCCCTGGAAGCTCCTGCTCCTCCCTTTTTTATTGTGGTGAAATACCTGTAATATAAAATGTCTCATTTTAGTCATTTTAAAGTGTGCATTTCAAGTGGCCTTYGTGCTGTCACGTGGGTGTCCCGCCATCGCCAGCCCCCTAGCCTTCCGCACACCATTTCATCTTCACAGACTGAAGCTCCCATTAAACAGTAGCCACCCTGGTAACCACTGGTGACAGCCACAGCCCCTGGTAATGACTCTTCTACTTTTTCTGTCAATGAACTTGACTGCTCCAGGTTCCTCAGTGAGTGCAGGATACAATGTTTGCCCTCCTGTGTCATGTGTGTGGGGGGGTCTTCCATGTGATGTGCAGAATGTCCCTCCTGTTCATGAGTGAGTGCTATTCCATTGTGTAACTAGACCGGGTTCTGTCTATCCACTTATCATCAATACACATCTGGGTGGTTTTTGCCTTTGGCTGCTGTGGACGTATCTGTTTGATCCCCACTTTCAGTTCTTTGGGGTGTGCAGGTGGAAGTGAAGGGCCAGCTTGTTTCACACAAAATAATTCAAAACTGGCTCTGCCCTGAGCTGCTTCTCCTGCCCAGTGCTCCAGGGCTAGAGTTCTAAGGACTGCTGGTTGCTGGCCCGTGGGGCCACCAGGAGCATGTGGGTGACTGGATGGCACTGTTCCCACTGTGCTCACCCTCTCGGCTCTAGTGCCCAGCTGCTGTGTGCGGCGGGGARCCCTCTGTGGGAGGCAGGGCGCAGGCAGCAGAGGCCAGCCGGAGACTCCTGAGGCCCACAGAACACGGCCCCGGGCTATGCTCACCCCCTGGCTCCCCAAATACGGCCGTGGACTGGCAGGGCTTGTGGCGGCAGCTCAGGGTGTAGCCAGGAGTTGCTGGGAGGGGGCATTCCCCAGCCATCCAAAGTGGCACCTATGCTGTACCTGGCCTTGTGGGTGACAGAGAAGGGAAAGGAGGGCTTCCAGGGGTGTCATCAAAGGGGCAGAGGGAGGCAGCTCCACCCAGCTGAGGGTGCCCCGGGCTGTGCCCATCCAGACCGGAAGGGGTGGAGGGAGCCTCAGGGGCCGGGCCCTTCAGCCTGCTCTCTGCCTTTGACACTGAGCCCGGTGGCACGTGGAATGCAGCTAGTCCTGTGCGTGGCTGCCACCCTGCGTGGTCCTGCCAGCCCGGCCACACGGCCACCTGTGCTCTCACCTGCAGCTCAGGCGGCCTCCCCAGGGGGCCCCAGGGTCCTTCCTCCTCCTGCCCCTCAGCTCTCAGCTAAAAGGCGCCCTCTTCAAGGCGCCCTTCCCCAACATGCCACCCTGTTGGCACTCATGGCAGCGGGTACTTCTTGTCGCCACCCAGCAGGACGAGGCTCTTGCTCTTAGACACCTGGGTGAGGACTTGGGAGGGAGGTGGCCAGGAGGCTGGAGGCAGGGCCTGTTTCCTCAAAGGCCCGAGGGCGGGTCCCCCTCAGGGGCCAGCTGGGAGGGGTGTGGCCTCCGCTGTCCCTGGGAAATTTCAGCCACCAGAGCTGGGGTCCCCTGGGCACAGGCWRGRGACTCCAGAAGGGAAGGATTAGGCYGCCACCTGTTGTCCCAAACTGGTGCAGCGCTAGGGCCGGAGTTTCCATTGGTTCATTCCTCCGATGCTTACTCTGCGCTGGTGTTTTTGGGTTTTTGAGCTGAGTTTGCTTCTGGCCAAACACTTCGGACACTCAGCAGAGAGCCCCCAAGGCCTACTGTGTGCCAGGCATTGTTTGGCACCGGTAATAGCACCCCATGCGCACAACGGGCAAACTCCATGCTCGGGGCTGGGGTTGCAGCTCAGGGGCAGAGCGCTTGCTTGGGTGAGGCCCTGGGTTCGAGTCTCAGCACCACATATAAGTAAATAAAATAAAGGTCCATTGACAACGGAAATATATAAATACATAAACACGCTCTGCGAGCAGGGGAAGCAGAGGAGTAGATCTAGGCCTATCAGGATACAGAAGGTCCTGTGGGGACAAAATAAGGGACAGGAAAAGGAAGCCCAAGGGCAGGGGTACAATTTTTTTTTTTTTTTAAAGAGAGAGTGAGAGAGGGGGGAGAGAGAGAGAGAGAGAGAGAGAGAGAGAGAGAGAGAGAGAGAGAGAGAATTTTTAATGTTTATTTTTTAGTTCTCGGCGGACACAACATCTTTGTTTTTTTTGTATGTGGTGCTGAGGATCGAACCCGGGCCGCAYGCATGMCAGGCGAGCGCGCTACATCCCCAGCCCCAGGGGTACAATTTTAAATCCTGGTTTGTTCTCACATTTTTCCTGTGAGAAGTAGGTATTCCTGTTTTATAGAAGAGGAAACAAGTTCAGAGAGGTTGAGTGAGTTGTATAAAGTCACACAGAGCTGGCTTTTTCCTTTTTTTGTGCCACTTCCCYGACTTAAGTTAGAAACTCTGACCCCAGTTCCCCCCCGCCCTCTGTCTCTCTCTTGGTGTGGCACTGGATTGGACCCAGGGTTGCTCTACCACCCAGCCACATCCCCGGCTCTTTTCAATCTTTTATTTTGAGACAGTGTCTCACTAAATTGTCAAGCCTGGCCTCGAACTTGCAATCCTCCTGCCTCAGCCTCTTGAGTCACTGGGATGACAAGCCCATGCCACCCCACCTGGCTCCAGCTCTCTTACCAAAGCCACAGTGGTGTGTGAGATGGATCCAGGTTGGCTCTGGCTCCTGGTGGCCCGGTGTGGCTCCTCCCTGCAGCTTAGATGGGTATCATCAGGGAAGAGCGCGGTGCTGCCCAGCTTGGTGCAGATGCGGAGCCCCCGACAGTCGGGTGGTGGGTGCCGACGGGTGGTGAGTGACAGCGCCCTCCCGCCCCGCAGGCCTCCTGCCTCTGTGGCACGGCTCCCTGCCTCCTGTGCGGCTGCTGCCCCGCCAGCCGCAACTCCACGGTGAGCCGCCTGGTGTTCACGGGCTTCCTGTTCCTGGGCGTGCTGGTGTCTGTCATCATGCTGAGCCCCGGCGTGGAGAGTCAGCTGCACAAGGTGAGCCCCGGGGCAGTCACCGAGGGCGGGCAGGACGCCAGGCGCCCGCCCCTGTGAGCTGGCAGGGACCTCTCTGGGGAGTCCTGTTCGTCATAAGCTGTGGTCCCCTTGGGAAATGCTGGGATCACCGTTGTCCCTTAGACAGCTGGCCCSGGGGACACTCTGCTCCCCGTCAGTGCTGAAGCCGGGGGCTGAGGCCAGTGGCGGGCACACCCCGGTGTCCAGGCTGCTCCCTGGACTGAGTCTGTAGCGGCTGGGCCACAGCTGTTTTCCCCCAGACGCTGTGACTCCGAGCCAGGTGGCGGGAGGCCACACTGGGAAACCCCACAGTACGTCCCTGGGCCCTGCCGGGTGAGCTCGGGAAAGCACGCAGCCAGGAACAAGCTGTGGGGGACCAGCCCCGGGCTCCGGCTGGACTCCCGCGTCCCTCCTGCGCCCTGGGTGGGCTCAGGCTGCTCTCTGTCCCCGCAGCTGCCCTGGGTGTGTGAGGAGGAGGCCGGGAACCCCATGGTCCCTCAGGGCCACATCAACTGTGGCTCCCTGCTGGGCTTCCGCGCTGTCTACCGCATGTGCTTCTCCACCGCGGCCTTCTTCTTCCTGTTCACCCTGCTCATGATGTGTGTGCGCAGCAGCCGGGACCCCAGGGCCGCCATCCAGAACGGGTGAGAGGGCCCGCACCCGCACACCCTGCCACTCTCCCCCAGCACCCTTCTCCTTCTCTGCCTGTTCCCGGGGATCTCGAGACCCTGCCCTCAGACTCGGGAGTCACTGAAGCCAGGGCTCATAGCACAGAGAACAGCTCATTTAGTTAGACCTGTTTTTCAGATAGGGGAAGAAAGCTCAGAAAGGGCAATAGTATGCTTGAGGTCACACAGCACTGTAGTGACGCAGTTGGCTAGAGCCTGGCCCACGATGCTCACTGCTTGGGTTTTCCCTCGCTGCCCCTCAGGGCTTCTTCTAGGGGCAGGACAGGCTTTCTGTGCCCATCAGATAGTCCCCCTTCACCTCTCCCAAGGTCTGTTCTGCGGGAGCARGGTTCTAGGGCCAGGCCTGGTCTGGCTTCTGAAGTCTGTGCCCAGCTCAGCTTCCTGTCCGTTCCCCACTGCAGGTTTTGGTTCTTTAAGTTCCTGGTCCTCGTGGGCATCACCGTGGGTGCCTTCTACATCCCTAGTGGCTCCTTCTCCAAGAGTAGGTGGCTGGGGGGACCTTGGAGGGTTGGCAGGGAGTGGCAGGGCTGCGGGGCTTCAGGCGGGGGAGCTTGGTGGGGCTGCTCTTTGCCCTGGCCCCCTGAGCCCAGGCTGCTGGGTCGCCCCATGGGACAGTACTAACAYCCGGCTTCCTGGCCTTTGGGCAGCTTGGGGGGTGGGGAGCCCGGCCCCTGACCCCTGCTCTGCCATGCATCTCTGCAAGGCCAGGCTCCCCGGAGGCAGGGACTCTGCTTCTTAAAGTCCCCAGTGCAGGATATGGCACGAGGGACAACTGAACAAAGAATGAGTGAGAGGGAGGCGCGGCTGTCCCTGTGGCCTGTCCCGTGGCCTCACCCCGCCCCCCCACGCAGTCTGGTTCTACTTCGGCGCCGTGGGCTCCTTCCTCTTCATCCTCATCCAGCTGGTCCTGCTCATCGACTTCGCGCACTCCTGGAACCAGCGGTGGCTGTGCAAGGCTGAGGAGTGCGACTCCCGCGCCTGGTACGCAGGTCAGTGCCGCCCGATGCTGGGGCCTGGGGGGAGGGGGAGGGCTGCCAGGGCCCGGGGCTGGGGGGGGCAGTGGAGGAGAGCTGACCGGAGAGCTCAGGGCTGCGGCCACAGCAGGCCACAGATGATGCCCTTTTGGTGGTGCCCAGACGGAGCTTCAAGGGACAGCTGGTCCCTGCGGCCCTGGGAGCAGAAGGAGCCCCTATCAGGTCCCTGTGGGTCCTGAGCCGCCGAGTGCACCGAGTCCCAGGTGCTGCTGGTCTGGGCCCCGCCAAGCCTGCTGCTCAGGGCGCTTTAACCACTGCGCTGACCGGTGATCAGGCAAGGCCGCCTCCAGCCAGCTCAGGCAGTCACCGGAGGCCCCTGGAAGACACTGAAGGAGGACATGGCCCAGTGGGGAGGCTGCCTACTGCCGCCTGAGTGGCTCCTGCCCTCCTCCCAGGCCTCTTCTTCTTCACCTTCCTCTTCTACGCGCTCTCCATCGCGGCCGTGACGCTGATGTTCATCTACTACACCCATCCCGGAGACTGCCACGAGGGCAAGGTCTTCATCGGCCTCAACCTCACCTTCTGTTTCTGCCTGTCCATTGTCGCTGTCCTGCCCAAGGTCCAGGTGAGCCTGCCCCGTGGCAGGAGGGCCCCGTGGCAGGAGGGACTCCTGTAGAAACCCAGGTTCCGGGCAGGCCCCGACATGGAGAGCTCACTCATCTCATGCTGGGTGTCCTTGGGAAAGTGCTGTAACCTCTCAGTGCCTGTCTTTCCTCAAATGTAAAATGGGAATAATAACACCTCAGGACTGAAAGGGAGCCGTGCCTGGCATCGTAGGGGACCGTCAGACATTAGCTGTTGGAGTGATTGATGTCATTTTTTTTTGTTTGTTTTGTTTTCATGCAAATTGGAAGGGATAGTGAGTGGTGATCCCTGGATGGTCCAAGAGATGGTGCTGGGGGGAAATTCCTGTCCCACCTCAGACTCTCTGAGACAGTGGGTGGGGGCTCCCAGCATATGTGTCCTTCACAGACTGTCTCTGGACCCCCTTGGGCGTACCTCACAGTTGGGGTCTCAGTACCTCACAGTTGGGGGTCTCAGAACACCAGGGGTTTCTGAGCTAGCTTGGGTGGTCTCTGTGTGTCTTCAGCAGAAAGGCTGAGAACCTCTTTTCTGCTCAGAGCCTCCATTTGTGTGAGAAAGTTGAAGCCCAGAGAGGGAGACACTGTATCCAGAGCACACAGCAACCAGCATTCATTCAGCAAATACCTTATTTATTTATTTATTTAGTATGGGGTTGAACCCAGGGTCTCACTAAGTTGCTGAGGCTGATCTTGAACTCATAATCCTCCTGCCTCCGGTTCCCAAGTCTCTGGGATTACAGGTGTGCACCACTGTGCCTGGCTTTTCAGGCTCACTGCTAAGTATTTTGGATACAGCTGCCGGGAATAGGAGGAATGATACAGTGGCTATAAGTTAATGACATCTGTCATGTATGTCATTTGGTCCTCACATCATCATTATCCCTTCTTTATAGACAAGGAAACACAGGCTTAAAGAAGTAAAGAGGCCAGGCATGATGGTACAACCCTGTAATCCCAGTCACACGGGAGGCTGAGGCAGGAGGTTGGCAAGTTTGAGACCAGCCTCAACAATTTAGCAAGATTCTTTCTCAAAATACAAGGGCTGGGGGGCTGGGGTTGTGGCTCAGCGGTAGCACATTTGTCTGGCATGTGTGAGGCACTGGGTTCGATTCTCAGCACCACATATAAATAAATAAAATAATAGTCTATTGGGCTGGGGATGTGGCTCAAGCGGTAGCGCGCTCGCCTGGCATGCATGCGGCCCAGGTTCGATCCTCAGCACCACATATAAACTAAGATGTTGTGTCCGCTGAAAACTAAAAAATAAATATTAAAAAAATAGTCTATCAACAACTAAAAAAAAAATGTTAAAAAAAAATACAAGGGCCAGGTACCATGGCACATGCCTATAATCCCAGCTGCTCTGGAGTCTGAGGCAAGAAGTTCACAAGTTCAAGGCCAGCCTCAGCAACTTAATGAGTTCCCAAGCAACTCAGTGAAGCCCTGTCTCAAAATAAAATACAAAAAAGGGGCTGGGGATGTGGCTCAGTGRTTAAGCGCCCCTGGGTTCAATCCCTGGCATCTAAAACAAAACAAGGAGTGGGCACAGCAGGGGTGAAGGCTCTGGGGCAGGAGAGGGTTGGCAGCTCTGGGGATGGAGAGGCCATCGTGGCTAGCGTGCTGGGCCTGGAGGAGAAGGCTGGCACACCAGGGAGGCTGGTTGGCAGTGCCACCCTGAAGGGTTTTCAGAAGGGAGGGGGCTGGGTGATCTGAGGAGTGAGGAGTGTGAAGAGGGGGGAGAATTAGAACCCTACTTCTGGAAGTGAGGGTGCTGGGGACCTGGCTGGTGTGTTTTCCCAGTGTGGGGTGGATGGCCTCCCAGGGCGGGGGATTCCTGAGGTCCCCTAGTTGGTGAGAGTGGTCTAGGTAGGCGTGGGTGTCCCTAGTCTGGCAGGGGACTTACCCATGACGGCCTTCCGCAGGATGCCCAGCCCAACTCTGGGCTGCTGCAGGCCTCCGTCGTCTCGCTCTACACCATGTTTGTCACCTGGTCCGCCCTCTCCAATGTCCCTGGTGAGTATGGAGCCAGGTTCGAGGAGGCCTGGCCTTGTTGCTGGACCACAGTGGCATGCCAGGGAGCTGGGGATCCTCACAGGTGACAGGGACACGTGGCTGCAGCCCATCCTGAGACTGGGTCCTCAGGGAAGTGGGCGCCCACCGGCTCCCCGAGTTGACTCTGTCACTGTGTGTGCCGAGTGCCGTCTGCTGCTGGGCCCTGGCTGGTGGGTTGGGTTTCTGTCTTTCCAACTGTCTACCCATCCTCAGGGCCACCGGGCTTCCCAGCGGCTCAGGGGGTGGAGGGTGACTGTGCCCCCCTTCCTAGACCAGAAGTGCAACCCTCACTTGCTGACCCGCTTGGACAACGCTACGGTCCTGGCAGGCCCMGAGGGCTACGAGAGCCAGTGGTGGGACGCCCCCAGCATCGTGGGCCTCATCATCTTCATCCTGTGCACCCTCTTCATCAGGTATGACGGGGTCCAGTCTCCGGGGAGTGGTCATGTGGGGGGCCAGAAGTGAGGAGGACCTGGGAACCCCACACCAAACTGGAAGGTGCCGCGAGCCAGCCGCACTCCCAGCTCCTGCCTTGGTGGAGTCTGAGCATGCGCAGCAGGAGAGGGCAGCAGAAGTGGGCCGGCCCCGCCTCCCGGGCCCCGCCTCCCG